TTCGTCAAAAGAAATAAAGACGATCTAAATTAATTTAATCAATTGAACAATTTTGTTTCTCAAGTGTATATATCACAATCTTCAAAATAGCTTCTTGTCATCGATATCTGATAACTTGATGGCTTATCTGAATGCTTATCGTTGCTTCATTCATGAAAACGATAAAGTACGAATTAACAAGAAGTTGGAGCAGAATTCGCCGCATATTAAAGTGTAAGTGGCAAAAGATTAATTTCCATTTTACAGCAGGATGAGTCAAATGCTGCATAAATTTGATGGGGCTTTCATGTACCTACGTGTCATGATCTTTTATGAAACTATAATGCTCGCTACAGATCCAGCACAAGATATTTATGACTATTATGAGTGATTCTATTCCTTTTAACTCATCCTTCTCTCGTTTTCTCTTAAAAAGCCACAATATCTCCTCCGGCTTTTCCATCTCCTTCTTAATTAATTCGCATTTCGCTCGGCGGAATTGTAAATCGTGAAACTGGCTTAACGAACAGTGGACAACAACTCGTGAAACGCTCGGAGATGTTAAGACTCATCCAAACGCGGCGATTGTAATTGGCAGACAGAGGGAAGGGAAAGTCGAAAGTTCGTAGTGTCCTTAAATGGCATTCGCGGGCGTAATTATTGGTAATCACGAAAGTACAGAGATATATAATATGATTAATTGCGTTAAATTTAAGTGTCTTTAAATGTTGTATTTACGCGAAATCACATATGAGGAATTATGACAATAAATTTATGTTATGATAACATTTATCATAATTATTATAATAATTACAACAATTGTTATGTTATATCTGTTATAGCAATAAATCCGCAAAATTAACGAAATTATCATTTCTGTAATTATTTTATAAGTTAAATTATTTGATTTTAAGTTAAATCTCTCTTATGTTAAACGAGCACAAATAATTAATATATTAAAAATATTATTGATGCTTTTGTAAAGAAACGCACAGCACGTATTTTCTACTTCTTTATTCTCTATAGCCATTAATATTAGTCTTGTCAGAAGTAATTATTATGATATTATCCAGCTTCTATATATAATGTATATTGCTTATTATTACATGTTGTATTTTCGTAAGATTTATGATCCCAATGTCGACAAGTCCGTTTCTTGCTGTTACAACGCGTTACATTCTATTGCGGCGCGTCGGAGATCAAATACCTGCAAAGATCATTGACGTCCCGGAGATTTACGGCGTGTCACGTGAGAGGTCGTCAGCCAAATTGTTTCACATTGATTTTCAGGTCGAATGGCCGGTACACGCACCGCTCGGCCGCTGCCCACACGCGACGTCTCCGCAAACGCATTGTGGTTTCCAGGCGCTTATTTATGCACGGCCCGCCGTTTCCGCCCTTTCCGCTTGACGTTTAGGGCCGTTGACTCGCTTGACTTCGTCGTCATATGGCGAAGTCGTTCTTTCGATACTTCGCTGTCACTTTTAGTCCGCAGACTTTTATCGCAAACAAATCTTATGGATACTCTGCAGTTTTACGATCCTTACGATTATACAAATTTTATTAATTTCAGATGTAGCGTGACTAAAAAATTATATATGAGAACATGATGGATTTTATTTTATTATAAGAAATACAGATATTTATTAATGTAAAAATAAAGTTACATAAAAAGAATTTAAATTAATATCATAAGTACATTAAAAAAAGAAGGAGAGAGATAAATAGATAAAAATGGTTATTTATTAAATGCCCTAAAATTGCAAAATCCTCTCAAGCGCTGAAAACAATACATAATTTACAAACTAAAAATATATATAACAAAATAAAGTAATAAAAAATAAAATAATAAAATAATAACAACTAAGAAAATAATAGCAGAAAAGTAAGAAGTGAGAGAGAAGTAAAAATGTATAAAATATTTTTAATACAGTACTTTTAAACTACATACTTTGGACGAGCCTATACAGGAACGTTTTCCTCTCGACACTATCAGTATAAGAAGAATGTGCCATTCATACTTTTATACATCGTTTATGGACGCGTTATGCGCCATATCAGTCTTATCAGCACTTGTAAGCCGCCTACAATTTATGTGTATGTGCGAGTAGAGCTATCGGTATAAGAAAGGAAAGATTGCTGCCACAGAAAATGCTACTTGTATTATCGCAACCATGAACATTAAAAATTCAACAAAATTTTTATAAAATGTAAGTAACAAAAATAAAAATATTATATGTATATGCTCGAATTTAGTAAAATAACCTTTTTAATGTATATAATTGTTAACATAATAAATATATAAATAAATATGTAAATTTTTAAAAGTAATTTTTAATTATACATGTTTAGCAGTTCAGATTAGAAAGTAATAAATTCGATTAAGCTTCTTTATATTTATTTTGTTCTTTATATTATTTAGTATGTTCCCACAAGAATGAACGAGACGAATTCATTCGATGATACGTTCGAAGCGAAGACAAACGTTAATGGTTATAACCGCAAAATATCAGCTTAACTTATATGTTTCAAATACTGCCAGAGGCGACGATATAGACACGCGCGCCGTTAATCCGCGAACATAAGCCGTTATTTTGCGAGAATTTGTCAAGTCTTCCAAGCTCTCTCTCCGCACTCACGACAGACCGCGTCGCTAATTGGATGCAAGATATGAAGCTACGTTTCACTAGGACGAATCCATTAATATCGTCTTCGACAGATGGGCTCGCGCGCAAACCCGGTGGTCCGATGAGGGAGGATTTCTCGCGTCGTCATTAATCACTGAAACAGGAACCACGGTACTCAGGTCGCGCTTAGAAAGTTTCTGGTTTCTCGCAGATATCGGCTCATCATCGAACTCGCGGTTTTCATTCCGTCATTTGTAAGTCAAACGGTATAAACATTGACAATTCGGATATTATTCGGAGGAATGATTCGCACAATCATTTGGGCTTGTTCACGAATCTATGGACCAGAGCTCAACATACTGGACATTCACATACGTCTACACATTCATGTACATGTATATATGAATGTGTAGGTGCCAATAAATAAATTTATTTATTGGCGATATATTGGTTAAACGTTAGGAATATAATGAGCTAATATTGAGCAATATTTGATTACTGTTATGCTACTTTTTTGATGAGTAATAATATAATAAACAGTTGAGAAGAATAAATAGAAATAGAAAGATAAATTAAAAAATAAAGATAAATTAGAAATAAAGATAAATTAAAAATCATATGTGATAAAGATCTATTATAGATGCATGTGTTAAAAAAATTCATTAAGCTGAAAATTCATTAAACTAAAAATTAG